ACTACAATAAACGTGCTAAATTGTGAATCAGTGACTTTGGATAATCCATCCCGAACCCCTCAGAAATCAATTACTTCAATCATTAACAAAGATGAAGTGGTGTATTAATATTAAAATTAATGAAACAACAGACAAATCTCCTTCACACCCTCGCGTCTTTCGCTTATTTGTTACATCAACAAATAATTAAAGAACACAATCTATAGTGGTATTAAAAAGCTACAACGAAAATGCGACGTGCCAAAACCGACTTACATTAGGGCCGTACTCTATAATTAAACATCAATACCGTTACAAAAAGTAAATAAAGCGGCTATGTATGGCGTAGCTGTGGGGAGGGAGAGGAGGTCTCGACTATGACTAATGTCCCGCGATCCGTCAATGTCACTCGTGGGCCAAGGGGGGCGCCACTTTCCAACAGGGCCGGAGTTAAGGATATCCTTTCGGAATAACATTTTCCCCACTTTCTGTACAGATATGTATCTATATGTTAATCATAGAATTTCTGTATCGACTGCCTGGAGATCAGGCACTGTAGATTGCGCGAACGAGCGTAGCGTAGATTGTTATCGACTTCGACTTGTTGTTAGAAGAAAAAAGAGATTTTCGTTACAACCAAGTCGACATTACACTTATAATATTATAAATAAAAATACTTTAAAAGATGAATAAGATAATTATTTCAGTTATAAGTTTCTACCATTTATAAGGTTTCAATTACGTGATGTAAAGACGACACATATCTTTACTCTTGAGTTGTGAATTGAAGCATATTTATTATTGTGTGAAGGTAAAAAAAACAAATAATGCTGTTCGTTTTGTTACATGCAACACTAAGCAAATTCAGATAGATCTAATTAAGCTTTACTAAGGTCTGTACCTTATATTAGTACATTTTACTTAAATTAGAAATTTTGGTAAGTATGTTTTAATGTTCTATTAAGCATAGCAAACTAATTAGTATTCCCTTTTATTGAGGACTAGCGACCCGCCTCGGCTTTGCACGGGTGCAATGCTGAATGTTTGTTTTCGAAATCGCATTAGAAACCTCTAAAATTATCAGGGTTTCTCCACTATATTATGAATTATACATATAAACCTTCCTCTTGAATCACCTTATCTATTAAAGAAAACCGCATCAAAATCCGTTACGTACTTTTAAAGATCTACGCGTATATAGGGACAGACATACAGCGGGACGACTTTGTTTTATACTGGAAAAATGCTCGGTCGGAACCGGCGTTTACTCTGTGGCATCGCATAAAGTTGCTGTAATACAAACGCTCCTTTAAAATAGACTTTCCGCGCGGCCCATTCGTCTCTGTGCTGGCACGGGGTCCTTTGAAATTGGCTTCCGCGCAGGACAACGCGTCCTCCGCGACAGGCCCCGTCTCATGGGCATAGCGGCTCACAATTAGGTGGGACGAGAGAAGAAATGAATAATCCCGCGGCCGACTAGATCGCTCTGCTCGGGGCATCACGTGTAGCCGCACCCGAAATATAAATTAGATCCGCTAACAAATTTCAACGGGAATGAAGCGATGGCTCAACTCGAATCGTATTCCAGTCGGTGCTTAGTTCGTCGAATGAATGGCAATTCAAGGGTAAGACAAACCTATTGCCAATAATATTTAATTTAATACAAGTTGTCTGTGTTCAGATGATAACATAATTTGTATTTAATTACTGTTCTATGCAAAAAAGTACTTTCTGCGTATCTATTTTATGCGTAGAACTTAGAATTAAGGTCTATAATGGAATTCCGTCTCCGATATAGAAAGTTGTCACTTCAGCCTTTAGCTTTTGTAACTCAAGGTATATTATGGAGTTGTTAAATTAAATAATTTAAATCTCTTTCTTTTGATGCACTTATAACAGTCATATTAGAAAAGATACGTTAGATGTTCGATGAATCTTATATGGAATATAAAAAAGGCAATATCCCAATAAGACGGAACCCACATCGTACAAATGAAATCTAAAAGCAAAACCATCTTTAAGCAAAAGGTAGGTAATTGATAAAGTTAATGTAAATTTAATAAACATACAATGCCAACAGTAATTAAATCAATTGGTAACGTTATCCGTATATGGAAACTTTAATTCCATACTTAGAGAAAGAAAAAAATTGCTAATGTATTAACAACTGTGAGAAGATTTGCTTAGAGTCTATTTTTCATAGCTGAAATCTTTTCGGTAGCCCATGAAAACGGGTTCGAATCATTCAAACCAAATAAGACCTAGGACTATTGATTTTACGTATTATAATCGTGTGTTATGATATTTCTCGCTGTTTTTGGAATCAGCCTTGAAAACGTGTTTATAGAATGTCACTAATTTCGATGGAGTAAGTACTATTTTGCAATAAAGCGTTGTTTTCTGCCCCGCACCCCGTTCCACACCTCTCTGTTAGATAAATGACATAACATTTGTCCAAATGATGGCGCGGGCGTCAGAGAGAATGAATTTAAATTATCATTCAGTGGTACCAGCATACTGCAAGATCGCCCAAAATTGGATATCTGAACCTTGAAAACGTACAATTCTATTTAAAAAAAATTTCTATTTAAAAAAATCAGAAAAAAAGTCAGTCTACAAGTAATTAAAATTACTTAATAATTAAATGTAATAATTATTTAACATGCAACAAAAATAAAATCGTATGTTTAATTGATTGATCTTATATTATTATGATTGCATTTACAATACAGTTATTATTATACTATCTAGAGAACAGATTTCTTAAATAAATATGTGTTATGAAAACGTGCACTAAATTCCATTTATGATTTGACCTTTTTAATGACACATAAAAATCATATTTTTATATAATCCCAAGTACGTATACATGAGTGTTTAGAACATTAATAGTGGCTTTGAAATCTCCGCCTTGAGTTTCTTTTAGAGGTTCTTTTTGGCGGGAAGCAAAATTGAGTAATGGCAGCGTCACAGATGGCATCATGTTAGATTGATAACGCGGAATGGAGAGAGAACCGTTCTATTGTGTCACGACTTCGTACGGGCGTATTATTTTTATATAATACATTGTCTACTTTCTTGTGTTGTTTGATTCATACTAAATTATTACTCGCTTGCATAACTACGTCGTTTTGTTATACTCTTGAATTAAAACATGTCTTTTGAAATACAATAACACAGTGTAGGCAATATTAGTTAATAATAATATACCTTAGGGCATGTACACAATCATAATAGTATCGTTTAATACAACATAGCCAATCACAGTTAACTTTGCTTACTGTTTTCATCTTCCGCTTTGCACATAAAATGGATATTTTTAAAAGGTCAAAAACAGCTTATGGCTATTCATGTCATCGTTTACCATCAATCACTTGCTTTTTTAACCTTTCCTGCGTAATAAAGGAAGCTATATAAGTTATAGAATAGTCAAACATCAGATCCATCTCTTTTATTGACAAGACAAGCTAATCATAGACGTTTCAGAGCTTAAATGACTAACCATACCATTCAATGCTAATATTACTTAATAATTAAAAGCAACATATCATGAACAAAGTATTCGAACAGAATATTCTGAAATGAAATTACATAGTATCACGGTGTGACTCTTATGATGCGGCCAAATTTAAAGTGCATTCGCGCCAAACAAATCGCTATGGAGGCGGCAGAACACGTTAACCAACTCGGCTGCAACGGAAAACAATCCCGCCCGTGATGGTAAAAAAACAATGGGTCCGTGATGAAGACGTAGCCATTGTGGGCAACGAGCGCGCCATATTTCACGGCTTTGTATGCCTCCGGAGACCCGATTAATTCTAGATATCTCCATTCGCCTGAACGAAATGGTGTGATGAAACCTTTCTCTCGATTCATACATGATGCGTACGAACAATACGCGCTAGGGACGAGGGAGGAATCATGTGAAATCGACATTTATTAATTTTTTTTGTGAAAAATTCTCAAGCTAGCAGGCGGTTCACCTGATGTTAAGTAATTATCGCCGCCCATGAACATTACAATGCCTGAGGGCTTGCAGATGCATTGATAATGTTTCAAATAAAATGATAATGTTGCGGGTTACCCTGGTTACCTCACTCGTTAAACAATACGCGAAAATATAATACTTCCACTTCACGCTGGTTTTTAATGAGCCATGGTATTTTGAACTGATTTTTGTTGATGATAAGTGAGAAAAAGTGAGAGAAGATAGACTTCCTGTCGATAGGTGTTTCAACAGTTCGATCGAACATATCAAAACCACAGCACGTTAATTAAATATTCTGCAGAATTCGTATGTTAAAATTAAATAAACAGGTATGAACAAGCTCAAAAGCTTGGCACTTATAGTGCCTTAAGCATGTCAAATAACACACAAGAACAAAGACAACTGATTTATTGATTATCTCCGTAATTGACCATCTTCCCTCTAAGACATTATAATACGTGTATAATCAAATGACATTGTCACTATTTATTGTTTAAAAAAATCTTTCTTCTACAGGGTTAGCAATGTTGCCTTATTTCGTGCCTGATATAACAAACAAGGCGTGTACCAGCCTTTTCGCTTCGAACCTAGCTTAGAAGCGGCATCGGTCGTCGAAAGTTCTGGAAACAGGCGGTATTAGGAACCTTAGAACGCGCCCGGAATACCAGCTTCACAATCAAACGCAAAGAGCGTAACTACGCACTTTAACAAAGCGCTTTAGGGCTCACCTACTCCGGGGAACGGCGTTATGCAAATAGAGTAAATTGAATTACCGGAGTTAAATGTCGTATAAGATAAAAACGACGGAGCAATCTACAATCCAATGAAGAGACGGCGGATTAACATATTCAAGCCCCTATTGAATATTTATACGACGTAGGATGTACCCCAACTGGTGTCGACTCCCCGGCCTGCCTTGTATCGCTAATGGACCACTATCTCTCTTCTTAACGTATCAAAACAAAAACAAAAATTGAATTAGCGGTCGGCCCTTAAGATTTTTCCCCCGATGTAATTGTAAGAACAAAAACAAATGGGCCCCGGCACGAATGTGCTCGAGTAAGAAACTCCACAGTACATATGCCGACTCGATTAGATATCTCTTTTCATCTGTAAACCGCATTAGTGGATTTGAAAATTTCTTACGTATTATCGTTCGACATTTCTTGGCAAGATAATTGGGTATTTTATCTTTTTTCCGAAATTTCCTTATATAATTTAACAATGATATTATAATTATGCATATACGAGGTACATTTATGACACTATCACATCGAAATTGAGACACTCAAATTAGGCCAATTAGTGTAATTCTACAGACTGCTGTTCTATATCATGTCTGTCATATTCACTAATATATATTATATAATGTAAAGCGCAACAACTTTTAAATGCCGCGCAATATGGACATACACCATCTTTATTAAAATATCATTGTAATTTAGCATGTTTTTTAACGACACACCAAGCAGAAAAGCTGACTCGGGCTTTATGTATACCGGGCTAATGGCTAAAGATAAGCTAAGCTTAGCTTATATTAAAGGCGTAAAATTGAACAGTTAATATTGAGTTCATTCGTTATTTTAATTTCTTTTTATTTCATCACTATCATTTTAAAGTATAGGTAAAGATTAATAAATATTTACTCACATTTTTGTTTGACGTCCGTGACAAGTTAGACAGCCATTTTTTCTTATTTGCTTATGCTTCGGTATCGGCCAATCTCTCACTGTATATATAAAACATACAATTAAAATAATGTTTTATTAACTAAAAATAAATAAATAACTTTATGAGCACAAGTTCCAATAGAAAAGTAACTATATATTTTTCATATTTATCATATATTGTTAGCTAATATGACTTATCTATAATTTATATTATTTCATATACTTTATTTTATCATATATGTAGGCTGCACATCAAACAAAGGGCTTTTATCCCGGGAACTTGTTTCCTTCGTTAAATTTCAAGATAAAAGGCGGTGAGTAGCGATAACGTATTCATAAATAGATATCGAATAATTGTAATTATTATGCCGACGATGAATGTTAAGCTCTCACGTAGGCTTATGAATAAATAAACAAGTGCCTATATTATGTCTGGCCAGGATTAAAATTCAAATATTCTGACAACTCAATCTACATGCCCGGGCGGTCTCTAGGCACCCTCGCGCGGGCAGTGCGGTCGTCGCCCACAGTACATTGAAAAAATTCCGAATAATATTTCTCGTTTTTTACTATTAGACGTTGCATTCATTCCGCCCGAAGTTGAATTATTTAAGGAATGAAGCGAGATAGCCATTTGATACAAAAGATAGTACAGTAAGATATTGAAAAATAAATTATATTATAATTGAATTGATTACCAAACAGTCAATGAATACACCAATGGTCGTTTGCTTGTCTTAGTTATAAACAAAGTCCACGTAAGGTGTCTCTAAAAGTAATTAGGCTGTCTGAAAACTTTATGGCTACATAATAGTTTTAATGAGATCTCATCATCAAGTTCACTCTTCATTCGGGTTTATAACCTAGTTGATGGATTATACGTTTTGATTAAAAATTCAATGGTGTGTACATTAATAAAATATACCTTGCTGTTACAATGCCTTCCAAACAGCTCTTTAATTTCATTCTGTGGTTATAAACAATTCCGTTAAACGCAAAAGGCTATTGAAAATAGTTTGGAATATTAAAACTAAATTATTACCGTACAATTACTAAAGGACGTATTTTGTATTGAAACAACTGTTGAGCATCTCAAAGTTTTGCTTGTACTGCGTATATTAAGCACATTCAGTGCATTTGCATACGCTTCCTACTCTGGATACCTATGACTGCTGTGTTATGGCTTCGTGATCCGGACCTCAGCCGCACGTTCACACTATTAATTAAATCTAAATATTGTAAAAGTAAACGTTTAATCAGTTTACTTTTGACGTATTCGCCTATTGCCACATAAAACTAAAAAAGTCACAAAAACCAATAAATACCGCAAAGCATTGTGAAACATTAGCCGAAACTAATTGTACTTTCTGAAATGGTTCTAAAGTCGAAATATTCCTTAGTTAGGTAACAGTTCAAAGTCATAGCATAAATATAAATACCTATATAAAGCATCTTACAAAAAATCTTTGCAAAATTCAATCATGCCCCATCAATTAACACTTTAAAAATAATTTATTTCTCGTTCAATATAATTGCTTATACGTTTTTTTTTTTAGTTTTTACATAACAAAAATAGTAAATTTATTAATAAAGTAACGTAGGTAAATAAATATTTTCATCGTAAAATTGGCAGGAACTCGTTTAAAGGTTAATTAAAATAATCTTACCTAGGTTCGTAATTGCAATTAAGTTGAAAAAAACAACGAATGCATTGAGTTTTATAATTAAAACGTAGCACTTTATTATCAAAAATTAAAACGTCAGAATCGAACAAAAGACGCCATATTTGGTCGACGTGCACGAAGTGGAACACGCACCGCTAACAGAAAATAAGGGACACACAGAAAGACAGGAAGGGCCTGTGGGAGCGGGACGGATGGAGAACTGGCTTAAAGACGAAAGGGAGGGCGATAGTGACGCGATGATTGAACGCGCCGCAAGAAAAATGATCACCCGTCAAGCGGCGACTGAGAGAAACTACCCCCGGGTCGTTGGATAAGGAAGGAGATAGGAAAAGCGCTCGGGCGAGATAGGGATGGGCTATGCCAAAATAGGGGTGACGTGCGGTGATGGATTATGCTTTTCTCTCTAAAGAAGGGAGGGGCTCACAGGTCGTTATGGAAAAAGCCGAGGGAAGTGGGGAACGACATGTGTCGGGGACGCAGGCCATGTCGATGCTGCCCTTAATTGATTCCTATACGAGCTCAAAATCAAAATTTCGATGTAATCAGACTTAATTAATTAACAACAAAACTAGTTACATATTTTTGTCTGTTATTTATTAATATTATATTATACCATGCAGAACTGTGAGTGATATTTAAAACTCAATTAACCATTATTAATTCGTAAATCTAACTCTACTTGATATCCATCGATGATCTGAAAATACAAAAATAAGAATTTGTTTGAATTTAAATAATTATATTATAGACTAATAATATCTCATATATTCTAGTTTAGCATAGAGCAGAAATGTTATTCTTCGTGGGTGCAAAACAACGTGTTAATAAGCCGGACCCCAATAAGACTAGCGTCCAACACCCCCATGATAAAATTTTTGCGCGGGGCGCCTAAAACGCCACTCACAGAAATGCCATTGTCCACTCCGGAGCGGGGTTTATTGTTTTATGCCTTTGTTATATGAAAATTTAAATCCTTAATTATTCATAGGATTGTTTTGCTTGACAATATTTTCACAATAGGCAGGGGCTCGCGAGGGAGGTAATCGGTTTGATTAATAAATTGTCAAGTTGGATCCGGAGTTAAAATATAAATTGTTGCCGCAAATATTTCACTCCATTATTACGCCGGGATCCCTGCTCATTGTTTTACGAAACGTCATATCTCACGCTGTCACCTGATTGTTTCAGTTTAAAGGATTCATTCGACGCGACCGGGTTAAATCAGTTTGTACCAGGATCTGCGTTCATTAAACCGGTTAGAAAATGAAATGAAATGTTAGTTATTCCTACTGTGTATAATTTGAAAACCGCTTCCAGTAGGATATTATTTTTTATAAGTTTTTAAGCATTAAGGTTGATGCATCCTCAGAGGACAGCAGACCATTTGTAACTCTTTCGTTGTTATGGGTATTAATCCGCTCGCTCCTGGCATAGTTGTGAACATAATTGTCACATCTTAGTAAAAGCGTGCTGTAAGACTTAACAATCTTATATATAGCACGCTTTTACTTACTCGTCTTTTCAACTGAAAAGTGTGGACTGTGATCTCTTTTGTTTTATCACTCCTTACAAATATCCAACGCAAAGGGTTATTTAAGTAAAACTATTGTACGGATTTTATAAAAAAAAAACTCACACTTGATAAACGTTCAAAATCTTGGTCTTTCCCGTATCCTGAATGTTAAGAAGAAAAAATGTATAATTCATAAATCAGTTTTATTCAATTGTTTAATTTTCAAGAACATTTAGGAAATCATTTCGTGGTATTTGATCTTATGTTTCTACTATTATTTTGTATAAGTTTACCAAAATGTTTGACTAAAAAGATTTAAAGTAAAATAACAGCCTATATATGTCCCACTGCTGCGCAAGAGCCTCCTCTGTACTAAGGTATTAGGACACAAATGCCATGTTGCGGACTCACGATGTTTAGCAAAAATTAATAAGCAGTTTCTTGTTCCCTCATTTTTTTATCATTTCTGATCAACGTATTATTATAAAATTATATAATATAACATACAAAATTAATGTACTCCTACCGTACTCTTCTAACAGAACACGAGCATTTAATAAATTAACAACAACGAAATTTCCTTCCGCGAGATCTACGAAACAAATTAATTTAGACGGGAGGAAGATGTAAAAACTTCGAAACAGCAATTACGTTTTATTGCGTGCCATTATATTAATCATCGGCGAAATTAATTTTTCATTCGGACAAATCACCGAGTGGCCTTTACAAATGGCTTTCGAGCTGATTGATAACGGCGCTCCGTTCACGAATCCTCGCACAGAGAACCGCGAGAAGACATCTGGTGTGGGCGATCGCGACATGTGTACACTATCCCGTTTTTTGGTACGTCAAAAGAGCTCTTAGAACAGACTCCTGTTCAGAGACGCTTGCCTAATGATGACTCATGGATTTAACAGACCAAGCGTCAAGGCAAAACTTGTAATACAATCAGATCGACCCAACACAAAGTACTTACTAAACTCTACTTACTAAATTTAAGAACAGATTAGAATATACGCAGCGACTTAACACAAAGTTAGATTAGAATTTTAACTGTGGTAGGGCGCAGCGGCTTTGGCAGTTGTTACACAATTTGGGCGGGCTCCTCCGGGGTGATACCACGGCCTCACAGAAGATCGACATGAAATTATTTAAAAGGACTTCTCTGGCGCTGTAGACGTCTGTGGAGGCGATGTTCACTTAACATCAGGTGATACCTCTGCTAAATTTTCACATAAAAAAATTGACATCTTCTGACAACACTAATCCTGAAGTTACGTTTTCATGGATGGATATTGATGTTTTCTTTCGTTCACAAAATGTCTATCAATTACACATATATTCCGTTACAGTACGTAACAACTCGCGTCTCAACTGACGATAACATTGTAAAATGTCAGTAGCAGTTAAAGTGATTGGGTTTCAATTAAAGTTGGTCAGTTTTGATCGAATAAATACAGTTTTACGGAACATCACGCATTCGACTTATTTCTTTAACGTCCTTTCCACGCACAGTTCTAAGATATCCAGCAGCGCTTGCGTCTGACTATAGAGATTTACCGGAGCAAATTGCGCTACCTAATTATAACTGAATGGGCAAAGACAACGCTGTATTTATGTTCGGCAATTCATCACACAATGAGACGATGTCTCGGACGCCTCTGGACAGTACACCGTACAAAGAGGCGAGCAGCCTCAAAAATCGAGCTTAGAAAAACTATTAGCATCAGTATATACAAATGAATATACAACAGTTCACGGGTATGCCACTAAACGTGACAAAGGTAACACGAAAGAGTGAAAAGGAACAATTACCTTTTATGCGTGTGCTAAGTAATTAGTTTCGAGTGACGCTTTAACTTCCATTCGCATTGTTTTGTAATGGTTAAGTTTGCCTTTACATACTAAAGTACGTATGCAATCAAAATTAGTATTAAATATTTTTGAATAGACCATTGGAATTTTGTTACACTTATAGACGATGAAACGATAACTAAGAAACTAGTGTCATAAAATCCCAATCATTACCTTTGGCCAAGCAATATCGTACGAACATCGATTTATTAATATAAAGTAAGTGATGGCTTACTTATATATCATTCAGGATAAATAAACTGAAACCGTCTTACGTTGATGTTGTATTTATTTTATTCATAATACAAAAAATAAATCTGGTAAATTGAAATCGTATGTATAATTTCTTATGAAAAAATAGCTTTAAACTAACTCGTGTCTTCATATTATCTTAATATAATTGAGGATAATTAAATAGCTGTCAGTATTTTAGAATGTTGAATAAACACAATTTCACGACTTACATCGCTTTATGTTTACTGTAAAATTTTCAAATAGAACACATATGAGTATAACTTAGTACGTTAGTGTAGGTACCGGTCTTTAAAATTAATAAATGCTGTTTTGCTAACATCTCGATCCGAATAGTAATGGTTTCGAGTAGTCTTTAATTGTATAATAGTGGGAAAACCACAAATATCAATATTTTATCCACGGACGCAATGATTGATCGCTTACAACAGTTGCGTGATTATTTTGATTGATACTGTAGAGTAAAAGCATCGGCACTCCCCCAAATCTCGAGGGCGAACAATAGAGAAGCACGTGAGACTCCCTTCGCATCCGAGGCTAATGCTCACCCCACGCAGAGGAAGGAGATGCAAAGAAAAATGCGTATTTATAGCAAATACTCGTACTCAAACAGTGCCACATTGTGTACGAGCCGGATAAATGGGAATCATTTCTCGTGCTGTCAAAAAAATCTGAATGGAGAAGCGAACGCGGCCCCGAAAAAACGGCCCGCCCGCCTCCGAAGTTTTTATTTCGTTTTTAACGCAATACCGATTTCGGATGTTTCAGATATTAATTGCGCCTTACCTGGCGGCGGCGGCGGGGTGACAGCGCTGAAAGAGTTCTGCGACGCTGATCGATCGCCGGGCGCGGATTGAAAGGAGAGAAACGCGAAAGGTAATTATTCATCCGACGACTAGAATAGACCACTTTCGTACCTTTATCTCGGGGCTCCGTGTTTTTTTTTTTCACGTGTTTTGCACGAAATTTGCAAGTAAATGGATTTTGTGACACCGCCATTTGTCTGCATTGACGCGTTTGAAATTCTCACGAATCCGATCTCGTGATCCTTGAATGTTTTACTAATTAATCATTTATCGGGGGGAAAAAAACACATAATAGTATATGCGATTTGTATGCAAAATAATAGTCAACGCGGAACTGAAAGTTCTTTAGCAAATAAAACTATGTCGTGTCGACGAAGACCGTACAACGGTTGATTTCAGTATTAGAACAGTAAGGAGCTTTGTGGAGGTAACAAAAAAAAAAAATCGCACGCCGTCATGAATACAAAAGGCGCTTTGGAACCCGGAAGATTGCACAATGCCTTGGGCAGAAACAAAGGCACGGGGGCACATGTGATCCTGACCTGATTTCACGAAATCCGACTTGCATAGACAATGCAGACACCGGGAGCCTCCGCTCAATAGCCTTTATGATTTATGTGACGTTTCTTTGACATTTTATGAAGCACGCCTCATTTGAATACATCCACTTGTGCCTTGCACATTGTAACTCTCGCCCATGCCTATTTTTTCCAACGTCTGCGCAATAGCGCGCCACGAGTTCTTAGCATTTCAATGAACATTTGGTTACCAGATTAGGTTTCTACGAGGCAAAACTGTATAGCAGTAAACAAGTTAGCCACTCATTAACTTATAAGTCGACAAACAAAACATCGTTTGCATCTGAATACGACGTGGCAGCGTTGTA